AGACCCCAGAGACAGACCCGGGCTGGCACTGCAGCCCCCCTACTTCCTGGCTATACGACCTTATTAGACAGTTACTTAACCTTTCTAAGGATGATTTTTTTCCTTCTGTAAAACAGACTACTTACCACAAGGATTGAAAGAATTAAGTGAAATCACTCCATACAGAGTTAAGTGAAATCACTCCAACATGATAGTTGCCTGTAACTAGCAGCTATTATTATGTTGGCACATTCTCAATGTTAAAAATAGATTGGGGTAGTTTCAATCTACAGATCTGAACAGCAATGATAACAACGCCAAATGCGTTCTTTTTTATCGTTTACAAAGCACGTTCCTGGGATTCTTTTAAATAGTAAGCTTTCTGAAGACATAATTAGACACACATATTTGACAATTCAAGGTGCACACTTCAAAAGTTTTTGGAGAAAATTACCAAAGAAAGATTATCATAAGATAGCAATTTGTATATATCATTTCATTGTTTGCTCTATTTTGTTGAGAATCTTAATTTTATTCATGATTACTGAATTAGGCCTTAAGGTTTAAAATAATGTGTCATCACATCCACTCGAATAAAAGAAGTGGGGTGAGTCATATGAAATGATGCACATGATTTTCAGAAAAAAATTGAGGCCTAAAATAAATTGACTTTCTTTTAAGTAAGGACATTAATAACATTGATTAATATTATTTTACTATTTTTTCCCTAATTTAGCCACTACAGAAAACAAAACTTCTATAAGTTAAGTGTGAAATAAGATAGTGAAAAATAAACATATTTAGCAAACAGAATCTTCAGCTTACAAAAATTCTGCAGGTTTATTCAATTGTAAGTGTTATAACTATCTTAGGAAAGTAAATTTCATGGCAGTTAATCTAGGCAAAGACAACCTCCAGGGTCAGGCAGACTCAGTGATCCGAACGATACAGGTGAGTGTCTTACCTGTGTGTGTCTGCTGGTCTTGCCACTACGGCCTCCTAGACAACTTTCTCACTTCAATGGACTATGTGGCTGTGTTTTTCAAGAATCATCACAAAATGTTATTTGTTTTTGCTTATCTAAATGAAAAACCCCAAGGATCATTTCCTAATTTGATGAATGTGAAATAGGTGAGCCCAAAATAGTAAATATTTTTATAAAGAAATATTATCTTGTGTTGTCTAAATTTAAATATAGAGTGTGCATAATTTATTATACATAATATGATCATCATTCCAATGAGAATTTAAAGTGTTTTCTTGGTACATCCCTGAACATTCTCAGGGCATTAAGGAGTACTGAATGTTTATTTGACTTGTGTTCTCCTTTGGTAAGAAAAAGCATAAAGTCAGAGAACATATCTTCAAACTCCTTGTAAAACAAAGTGGAATATAATTAAATAATAAGCATTTACAATCAACAAGAAATGCTAGACAGGCTTCAAATGTAAGTATACAGGAAGAGGCACAAAATAGTTAAATAACTTTTTAAATATAAAACCTTGAATCCTTGAAAGGATTTAGTACCATGCACCATAATTTTGTTGACAACTAGGTAACTCCTAAAAATAATGATTTAATTATTCATTAGAAATTCTTTCATCATTTTCCTTTGGACATGGAAACATGCACAGCACTAAGGAAAGTTACAAGCTCTATTTGGGGCTCAGTGCCTGTAGCCCAAGCAGCTAAGGCACCAGCCACATACACCAGAGCTGGTGGATTCGAATCCAGCCCAGGCCTACTAAACAACAATGAAAACTACAGCAAAAAAA